TTTTATAGCCAAAAAGAAACAAATCAACATTTGACCTTTCTCTCCCTCCTTTGGCCGGCCCCTTTGTGTTGTTTGGGCTTTGGGCTGTTATTTATTTCAAGTCATCAAATGCTTGAATAAAAGCCCAATGGGTTTAGGCCCAATGGGTCCAATTAAACCCGAACGTTTTTTTAAGCCCAAAACGATCTTATATCGCTTTTATGATTTCTTTAAACTTTCTAATTAATCACAACACTTAATTAATCCAATTATTTATTTCCATCATCCATTAGTTACTCACTACAAGAGTGTATTGGTGAACAATCGTTTTAGGTTCTAATTAGCAAGGCAGTGAGGTGATTGGCACCAATCCAATTGATTATATTTAATCCAATCACTTAGTGAATTAAAAACTTACTTTTAATTCACCTTCTTCTTTGACGACTACATTTAATCATCTAGAAGAACTCACAAGCCATGAGTGACATCTAACCATATATCATGGCTACCCAAGCTAATGTAGAAGTTGTTCAGAGAACCTACTCAGTTGGAATTACAATGTAATTCGATCCTTCTCTAAAACAATACTCTCAATCACATCACTAGGGTATGGATATATTATGTCAAACCCCTAATGTGATTATTCCTTCTTATATGATTCAATTGAGTCGTATAGGAACGCTTTCCTTTATTACGCTCGATACTTCGACCGAAGATTTCAGAATCATATCTTAGAGTATTCATCCTCTCTTAACGAGGATTAGAGATTCCTTGTTGCGCATTCACTTACATTCATGACTAAGTGGCTTAACCCCGACTATGCTGTGGACATCCGCAGATGGAGTGACTTTAACATAATCAAAGACCAAGTACTTAACCACAAGACAACGATGATGCCTCAGGTCAAAGGACTACTTACATTATTCCAACTATTAGAGTTACTTGCTTGACATGTGAGTAGACCTCCATGCAAGTACTCTCGTTCGATTGTGTTCAGTGAACTCATTCCCTTAATGAGCACCTACATCTTGTCTTAGTGTCACTACACGAATGGGATGAGACTTTCCATCCTTCTAATTGAAGCGGACATAGTATGTACCAGTCTATGCATTGTCAGTATCCCTCCGACAATCCTATGACCAGGAACCTTTTGGACATGATGGTTATGTGAAGAAGGTCTCTGTAGTCTAACTTCATTAGATTACTTCTTCAATCGATCCATTGTCCATGGATTCACCATTTATGACATATATCGTTTATAGAGATAGTCCTAAATAGTATCTTTGCCATTTGATGTATAAGAGTCATCTATACATCCATTTATTGGCCTGAAAGGTTTCTTCCGAAGATTGACTTTCAGGGCATATTTCCAACAACAACCTCTTTCTTCCCCTTAAAAGAAGTTAAGTCAATCACGAGCCTCCCAACAATGAACGGACCCTCGTGAGTTACAGAGGAAGTCTTCATCTTCCTCTCCATCGACGGCTCTCGAGCAAGTGATGAAGATCTCTTTATCTCGCCTCCACCAGCAACAGGCTCATGAGCAAACGCCTTATACTTGATCCTCCTTATCTTCTCCCTTGGGAGCAGCCCATATTTCGCCCGATGAACAGGGCTGAGCAGCTAAGGCAACTCATGATATTTAGTAGGGATCCCTAAAGTGATGTTCAGTTTCTTCATATCTGGAGAAGTTTTGAAAGTTGAGCCAAATTCCAAATCTACATAAATAAAGGTGGATAAATTAGAAGGCATCTCAACAAAAAGTATAAAACAACTTAGAGACTAAGCAGCCCACTTACCAACGATGAAAGCAATCGGAACGCGTAGCCCATACGAGGAGTTGGATTCCCACTCTCCGCTAATTTCTAAGGTCTCTCTAGCCCAGTCATGATCCCCTTTGCTCAAGTGATTGAAGAGCCTATGGCATGTCCTTAGCTGCTCAACACCATCGATGTGGCCTATGTAAAAAATGTACTAAAATTCTTTGGTAGTTATGTCTAAGTCAAAGAACCTACCCAAGTTGTAGAATCCCACCATCACGCAGACCATGTTCGAAAGGCACTGACCAAGACCACACTTCATAGAGCATATCACCTCCTAGAAAAATTAAGGCATAGGAAAGGTGAACCCAAACACAAAGTAGTAGGGTTGAAACTTGATAGCTTTCCTAGACTTACACGGCCCACGGCTACTACCTTCCTTGGCCCACTTCACGTGAACCTAGACTGAATTGCGTGCTTAAACATCTCAAGGAAGTCCCTGAACTGCTCATTGGAACCTTTCTTGACATGAGCAGTCATGAACTAAGCTAGCTTACTTGTAGATCCACCCTGGTGATACAACGGCAGAATAAATTCATCATTCTTGTGGCTCGAAGAAGACATGTTTGAAAAAATCCTACAAGTGGCACAAGAAAAAAAAATTGTTAGAAGCCTGCTTGAAAAGAAAAAAAATATATAGAATACCGTAAGAGCCCAGCACCACGCCAAGCCCCATGGCCTGGTTTCCTCCTCTCGGCCCAAAGGGCGCAACGACCCAATTAGCAAGGCAAGGGCAGGCGCCCTAACGCTGCCCTCTTTCTCCCGCATCTCTCCCCTGCTGCACAGGCCTAAACTTAGCAGCCTAATCAGCTAGGAGGTTCGCACCTCCTCTTTCTCTCCCTTTCAGCCACATAGGCCCATGCCTAGTAGCCCATCTCGAGCAGCCCAAAACTGACGCCCTAACACCCAGGTCCACGTGCCCCAGCCCTAATATCCTCCACCCAACTCGAGCCGCACCTGGCCCTAGCAATATGGATATGAAAATATGTGGAAACATCGAATTATATAACGACATCGGTCACCCTCAATGGATCTGATGAAAATTTGTTTAAAAACTTGAAAATTTCCACCGATACTAGTACTATTATTTAAGCATTGCTTGCATGTAACGGAAATTGAAGCAATTAAATTATCATTCATTTTTTTAACTGTGTTTTTTTATTATTGGATAATTGAAACTTGTTATTTATGCAGCAAATTGTCTCTGATTAAAATCAAAGTTATCCAATTTGTTCTAAAAAGAACGTTATATATATTCATGCACACAGTCTTGTCCTTGATATCTCTTCTCAGCAAAGAAAATCCAGAGAAATTCAATTGAACTAAATTTAATAGAGAAACATATATAGAAAAAAGGTAAGTAACGGTTTTGCTTCACTTGCTCGCGCTTGAGATTGTTGTTAAAAAATTATCGTTGTTGTCTTCTTCTAGTTTTAGCTCTTAGTTTATGTGGATAAATTTTTGGGATTAGTTTGGTTTTTCTTTAAAGTATGTTTCTGCTAACCCTAAAAATTACAAAGTTTGTGTGGCGCTCGCGCCAAAGTAATTAAGAGATAACTACGTCTTTTGGTGGTTTGGATGCTGAAGGTGAGCCAACTCACTGTCAAACTCGGTCGAGCAAGTAATTCTAGATATTGTGATGTTGTAAATTGCACATCTGACTTCTAAATCAACCGAATTCGGCTGAAGGAACTCTCGTCCTTGAGTTCTAAAACCTTAAGACAAAGTTATGCAAATCCTGTGAAGTTCTGAATCTTTCGACAGCCTCAACTATAATGATAAAAATATACGTCTACCAAATCAGTATCAAGTTATACTGGCAAAGATACTCAAAGGAAATATGTGTCTTAATTGTGCAAAAGGTTTAGCCGCTTGTGTGCTGACCTCTGAATGTGACATGTGACTAACCAATTATAAAACACCTCACTTCGTTGAAAAGGTTGATGAAGTGACATCTTTTAGTGAAAAAAAAAAAATCAAAGGCTCTTCCTCAACTAAGACTTAGGATAAATAATCAGCCACAAACTTGAAAGGATGTGAAGGGGTCTTTCAGTCAAAGAATCAAAGGCTCTTCATCATCTGTCGATTGCTAACCCAAATCCGTCTATCCAATCATAATTTGTGCTGACAGTTAGTAAAGCAATTACTTTTCACAAGAGGGTGTGAAAGGATGTTGCATCAAACATTGATTTGTGAGTTGAGTTGAAAGTCCTCTCTATGTTACCAATCCTCTTGTATTCATAAGAGTAAATTTTGTGATGCTCAAATTGGAGAGTTTGATAGCATTTCAACTACTTAGCATTATCTTGTTATGCTTGGAATTATACTCGACCAAAACTCAATCACCACCGAGTCTTATATTCTTCAGCTCGAGCTAGGATTCTAAACCTTGCCTGATCATGCAGCTGGTTCACATCATCTAGAAACCAATCCTGATCTTTTCATCTACAAATATATTTTCACCTAGCATAAAAAGTTTAAAAACCCAAACGCTCTCTTCCCACCCACTTATATTTCTAAAACAAATATAAAGAATGATTGAATCTTGGAGATTTTAGGAGAATGGAATAGCCATGAATGTCCACGTCCAACCTAGATGAAAACAACCACAGCCATGCACCACATATGATGGCAGCAGTTCCTTTTCTCTTTGCTGCTGTGAAAGTTACCTTCTTCTTTTTTTCTTTCTTGGTTCCCCTATCTTTCTTTCTCTATCTACCAAATATAGATTGAAGATTCATATCCAAAATTATTCCAAATTTCAATTCAGAATTAAGGGTTAAAAGGTAGGGAGAAAAGAAGAGAGCAAAATTGGGGTGGGTGGGAGAACGGAAGAGATAGAAGATGGAGGGGGACAAAAGAGTTAGAAATGGGCGAGGGCTGAAGAGAGAAAATGGGGGGGATTGGCAGGTTTATTCGTTTCTCATTTTAATTTTTTTCTTTCGACTACAAATGACATATAAGAGGATTAATTCTTAACAGCGCTTTTGAAGTTCTTTTACATAAAGTTAGATTTGGTATTAAATTTTTTATTAAAAATAGATGGGGAAATAAGGATAAGAAATAATATCAGTCTCTTGAAATGAAAAACCAATAAAGAAAAAAAAGGAAAATACCGACAGAAAAAGGGAAAAAGGAAAAAGAAGAAAAGAGTGAGCTAGGCACACACGTCAGCGAGATACACGAGCACGATCCGGGCCAGATAAGATCAATCCCTAAAACCTAACCCTAGCTACCTTCTCTTCGCCAATCCTCCATGGTCACTATATATTCAGTGAAGACGCTGCAGGTTGGCCGTATAAGTAGATAAATAGAAGGATTAGCTCTTCCTTTTTGGGCGTGTTTGGTAGGGTTATGTGTAGGAGATCATCATCCATGGCCTCAGGTCAAGAGGAAGACGATAACGATGATCATGATGATGAACAGATTTTGATGGCTCTCACCATCACCAATCGAATCGATGATTTACCAGAGGTAATTATCCCTCTAATTGATCCCTTAGGGTTTGATCATTTTCCATTAAGGCGGTTTATTGTTTTTTCAAATGGTTTGGTCACTGGATCTGATATTGAACTAACTAGCTAATTAACACTTTTGAAATTTATTTTTCCCAAGTTATCTTCTATATTCCTTACCAGATTGATTACCCAAATCAGTCTCATTTTCTTTTGGTTCTAAATTCAAAATCAATTTGACTTGACAGAAAATGCTGGCCAAACATTGTCCATGGATCCTGCCATGTTTTGCACAGACCACGCCAACATGCTTGGTAATGTCAGGCCAGTCTTGAGACTGTGCACCACCAGTAGAGTCGGAGCAGCATGAAAGTTGACCGATTTATGAAGAACAAAATGTAGAAAATACGATATATCCTAGATAGCTATATATATATGTGGAGAGTTAAGAATAAAGGAATGAGTTCACCGGGATCATGGCTTCATGACCCCTTTTATTTATATTTCTGTGGCCTTCAATTAATTATGCATGTCCCATTTGACAGTGTAAACTGGAAAGCCTTCTGACTTGTTTATATAACTATTATTTGTGAAAATTTTCTGAATTGTAACTGAATTGAAGTTCTGATTCATAGGTCAAGAAAGAAAATTTTTCTTTGATTTTATTTTCATTCTTTATCCTTTTTGTTAATTCCCACAGGTATAAACCCTCAATTGAAGAAACTGCAACAATCTCTCTTCCGCTATTTTGTTTTTTCTTGAAGTTTGTTTCTTTTTTAAATGGATGATTAAAACTTGTTGTGAGCACCCCAAATTTTATTTTCGTTTCGAATCAAAGGTTTCCCCTTACTAGTGATAAGGGTAATTGTGTGACTCATGGTGATCTCTGCTATCTTCTCATGAGAAGTTCAACCGGACTAACTTCAACATAAAGAGATATAAATAATGGTTTTGCTTCATTTGCTCGATATTGAGAATGTGGCCAGAGAAGTAGTGATCTTGCTTCTAATTACTGGCTTAGCTCATATACGTTTTCTAGAGAAGTTAATTTTTTTATTTTTTTTGTTTTGGAATAATTATTTTTTCTTGAAATTTGTTTCTTTCTAGAGAGAATCAGTAATCTTGCATCTAATTACATGCTTATCTCATATTGAGAATGAGCACGGCAAATTTTTTCTAGTTGGAATGAAAGTTTGCGCTAGGTCTTTTAATAAGTGAAAGCGTATCTGATCATGCATGTAGTCACTTTATTAAGCTTCTAAAAAGAGCGGATCCACACACCCGTAGTCATGGCAATATCATTTTCTCTATAGAATAGTGAAAAAAAAAAACGAAAATTGTATTCAAATTATGCATCAATTTAAAGTTTATATTATATTTTATGAAATCAGTCCCAAGCCAAGTATGATTTAGGTAAACCATTATCATTAATTTGTTTGCATGGATATCCACCCTAGAAATCTATAGTTGTTATTGTAAGTACCACAAAATTGCACATTGAGTTTAGAACGCATAATAATGAAAGTCAGCTACCATTCGAAGAGAGTTTTGAGATGGGTGCCACCACCTGATAGTATTTACAAGTTAAATACTGGTAGTTTTCTTCTGGAGATTGCAAGAATGTGTGGGAGCAACGATTCATGATAGGAAAGGGCAACTAATGGGGGCTAGGGCTACTCAAAGCTTATACAATACTTTAGCTCTCATAACAAAACTACTCACTTGTAAATTAAGCTGATTTTTAGAAACGATATTTTGCATTGATCTACAAAGAGAAGAAAGGGTTTTAAATCCAAGATTAATGACTTGAATAAAACTTTCAACCAATGCGGCAATCCACCAATTACAAAAATAAAAGGTTTATTGATATAACCCAAGTAAACATGGAGCAGATTCATGGAGTATTTTTGTGACATCCCACATTGCCTAGGGGAGTGGACTTCTAAGCCTTATATGTATATTCTCATCTCTACCTAGCACGAGGCCTTTTGGGAGCTCATTGGCTTTGGGTACTATCGGAACTCCGAAGTTAAGTGAGTTCATGCAAGAGCATTCCCAGAATAGGTGACTCACTGGGAAGTTCTCGTGTGAGTTCCCAAAAACGAAACCGTGAGGATGTGGTCATGGCCCAAAGCGAACAATATCGTGCTACGGTGGAGTCGAGCCCGGGATGTGGTGGGGGCCCGGGCTGGGATGTGACAATTTTGTATCAGAGCCAATTCCTAGCCGGAAGTGTGCCGACAGGACGTCGAGCCCCTAAGGGGGGTGGATTATTACATCCCACATCGCCCAGGGGAGTGGATCTTGTAAACCTTATATGTATATTCCCATCACTACTTAGCACGAGGCCTTTTGGGAGCTCACTGGCTTCGGGTTCCGTAGGAACTCCAAAGTTAAGCAAGTTCCCCCGAGAGCAATCCTAAGATGGGTGACCCAATGGGAAGTTCTCGTGTGAGTTCCAAAAAGAAAACCATGAGGGCGTGGTGGGGACCCAAAGCGGACAATATCGTGCTACGGTGGAGTCGAGCCTGGGATGTGGTGGGGGCCCGGGCCAGGATGTGACAATTTGGTATCAGAGCCAATCTCTGCCCAGAAGTGTGCTGACGATGACGTCGGGCCCTTAAGGGGGGTGGATTGTGACATCCCACATCGCCCAGGGGAATGGATCCTCTAAGCTTGATATGTATATTCCCATCTCTACCTAGCATGAGGCCTTTTGGGAGCTCACTGGCTTTAGGTTTTATCGGAACTCCGAAGATAAGCGAGTTTGCACGAGAGCATTCCCAAGATGGGTGACCCACTGAGAAGTTCTTGTGTGAGTTCCCAGAAGCAAAACCGTGAGGGCTTGGTCGGGGCCCAAAGAGGACAATATCGTGCTACGGTGGAGTCAAGCCCGTGATGTGGTGGGAGCCCGGGCCAAGATGTGACAATTTTTTTTACATGAATTTTGATACAAGTTTATGTGGGGCCCACTCCGTAATGTATTTTAGCAATTTGAACCGCCTATCTTTTAAAACATCGTTCATAGATCATTATTGCAAAAAATTAAACAAAAAAACAACATTTAAGAAATTCATTTGTAGTGATAAAATGGATGAATACGACTTTATAAAGAAACACTAAGCCCTTAATTTAACAGTCATATGATTTCGGATTTGAGTGATTTTTTGTAAATGTTAGTTTTGAGAAAATAACTAATTCAGGAAAAGACAATTCAAATGAGTGAATTAAATTACAAAGTGGCTCCCACAAAAATTTGTATCAATAGTTGTGTAAAAAATAGTTGGAAAATTTTATTTGAACTCATTTCACTTCTTTCTACATCCAACTTACTCTCTACATCCATATTATTTTTAATTAAAAAAATTAATATCTCTTTACGCAAAAATAAATAAATAAATAAATACTTTTGGGACAAAAAAAAACATTTACTGCTTGTAAAACCTATCAATTAAAATAAGGGAACCCAACAATTACAACTAACGACATATTCAAATCCTAAATATTTACTAGCATTTGCTTACACACTTTGTGTGTATGAACACATTTTCTTAGAAAATGAGAAGGAGGGAGGGAGAGAGAGAGTGAACGTGGGGAAGTGAGAGGTCTTCGTTTTTGGTTTTTTTTTTTTTTTTTTTTTTTTTTTTTGTAAATATTGGAGGTATTTTAACATCACTTGTAGGTGAGATTTCAATAAAAAATAGTAAAATTTGGACATGTAAAATTACATTATTGCCCATCATTTTTTTTTTTGTGTGATAGAAGATTAATTTGTCTTTTCACAATTTTTTTATTGACAAAAAGAATTTTATTAATTAGTAGCGATTATATCCGACTTTTCTGAATACAAAGTACAAAGAATTTGATTAAAAGAAAAAGAAAAAAAATGAAAAAAAATCTACACAGGTCAGACCAGATAAGATCAAATCATCTAACCTATCCCTAACGACAGAAATTCTCGAATCTTCTTCTGTTCCTATAAAAACTCACTAAAGAGGTCGCTGTGGACAAACACTCGAACAGAAGCTGTAGCTCGTACGGCCGGTTTTTGGTGGAGATCCGATGTGTTGGAGATCATCATCCATAGCCTCAGAAAGAAAAGGTGAAGATGAAGACAATGATCACGATGATGAAGAGCTTCTGATGGCTCTCACTATTGCCAATCGAATCGCTGATTCACCAGAGGTAATTATCCCTAAACATCCCTCTATATAAGCCTTTAGTGTTTGATCATTTTCCAATAATTAGCTAGTTTATTGTTTTCAATGGTGTGGACACCGGATCCGATATTGAAGCTAATTAACATATATTTATATTTTTGACATTTTTATTTTTCATTTCCCGTAGTTTTAAAAGTGGATGTAATCAGTATGCATTTCTTTTGGTTCTAAATTCAATATCCATTTGACTACAGAAAATCGTGAAGGAGTTCCTACAGCGTCGCAGTAATAGCAGCAGCGATTCTTTAGAAGCTGTCTTCGACCTCCCTCTACACACGAGTCGCAACCAAAACAACCAAAACCCATCAATTGCAAATGAGGGCACACATGAGGATAACTTCTTTCACATTTTCCTTGATCTCAGGAAGGGCACGGGACCGCACATCACCAGCACCCCAACTGTAGATCCAGTAGTAGAACCTCCGTCTGGATACTCGCCCTTAATGTAGTATCTTGCATGGAAGGCAGCCAAATGAGCATAGTATGCAGGAGGAACTGCATGAATAAACACGAACATCAGTGGCGGAATCAGGAAAAAACAATTTCAGAAAACCAATGTTCGAATCCCACTCATGTTCGTACCAATGGAAACTGAGCGAGTGCACCTTGGACACCTGATAAACATACGATTACAAAGTTAGAAAACATTAAGTTCTCTTCAAATTGGCGTCGTACAAGTGCAAAAGCCAGAGTAAAAATTGAAATTAATGTCTGCTTACGTGTAGCATAGGTTGTTCGTTAGCATCTGCAATGCATCTGGGGTTGTTCTCATCATACAGGACACTATGATGATTGCACCCCATATTTTGTAAAAGAAATGTCACCTTTTTATGTATATTATTGTGCTCTTCAATTATGTAAATTGTAAAGCCTATTCTAACTTGTTTTATGCAACTATTTTCGTAAAATTTTGTAATTATATGTGTAGATTTGTATGCATCCACTTTATAATTTATAATCGTACATTTATTAAAAGATTAGCAAAAAAGAAACTCAACGGTTAAATCATTATACACTTATTTGTCCTTGTACCTTGGTTATGCAATAATGGTCTTTATAGTATATCCAAGATTTACTTTTGTTTTTGTGATTATTCGGATTCAATTTGCTAACTTCCCATGTATATCATCAACTTTTGTACTCGTTTCAGCTTTGTCCTTTGATTTTATTTTGGGAGAATTCATCTACCATTGTTTTCAAATAGTTGTAGAGGGTGAGGGGTTCGATACGTGGGAGGGTGGATGGTATAGTTGAATGTGGATCTGAGAAATTGGATGCGTGGGTTGGGATGCTGGTTTATATTATGCATGAATCGGTGAAATGGGAAGTGTGTGGCAGTGATGATCATGAATGGTGTTTTGCTCGGACTAAAACTTGTTATGCACACCCTAGAATCTAAGCTTAATGTTGGGAATTTAATATGCTATAACGTATATCACCATGCACGTAGTTTTTTTATTAACTTGCTAAAATGACTACTCATATTTATGCACGTAGTCCCATGCTCACTATTTCTTCTCACAAAGAGAAACTTGAAAAGTTAAATCAAGATAGAGAAAGATAGGAAGAAGGTAATTATTTATTCAGCTTCACTTGCTCAATCCTGAAATCGTTGTCAGAGAATCAAAGATGTTCCCTTCTTATAGATTGTAAGCTACGTGGATAAATGACATTTTCGATTAGCTAGTTTTATGTTTTCGAAGTGTGTTTATTTTCTAATTGGAAGCATTAGATTAGCTAGTTTTAGCTAGTTTTACCCACTAAATTTTGTCAGGTTGGAATCCGAGTTTGCACTGGGGTTTTATCAAACTTAAAGGTACATAGCCATGAACATAGTCCATTCATCAACTTACTCAAAAATGATTAATGCCCACTTTTAAGAGTCTTAAAATGGTTTTTGCCTTCTTTTTCAAAAGTCTTAGAATTATAACCTTTTTTAAATGCAAAAAAGAGTGACCCTAGCGAACAAGGCTTCTCTCTTTGTGAGGTCGGGGAAGAATGGCTATCATACATTGTTAGAGTTTTGAGACTGTTGTCCCACATTGGGGAAAACAAGATTCTCAATAACCTTTATATATGTTTTGTATTCTACAATATTAGTTAGATGTTGGACCATTTGGAATGAGGATTGAGGCTTGGGCCACTAGTTGTGTGGATTAGGCTTGATGATCATACCATAATATTAATTAATCAAGACAAGGGCCTAGGGCACTTGGGGCCTAAGAATTAAAGTTAATTAGATCAATTAGTTTTAATTTTCGAATTAAGTTTTTAATTAAAATTAATTAAAAACGTTTTGATTAATAGATACAACTCTTTGGAAAGAGTTGTATAGCTTCAAATACATCCAAAATGTATTTGAAGAGGTATGAAAGAGCCTATTTAACTGGAGTCCTCAGTTCCATTGGAAATCATCCTTTCTTCCTCTTTTTCTTCCATACACAATTCTCAGAGAGTAAACACACAAAGCAATTCGCTAGAATTCTATAATCCAGTGCAGGTTGTAGAATTAGGTAGTTCTATCCAGGTTGAGCAAACGTTGTAGAACCACAAGCACAAGAGTGGGACGGAAATACTGTTCGAAGGACATAGCTTTTGCGCTAGCCTCTACCTGTTGTAATCAAGTTAGTACCATTGATATTCTTGTATTTATATTTGTATTTCATTTTGTACAGCAAGTATTTTGATTAATAAAATTTTATAATTTTGAGTTCTGTTATTTTTATTTATTTTTGAATTGTTCTTCAACAATCTTCGAACAATATGGAACAATCAGGAATAAACCTCATTCTGAGAAGCCTGAGAAATTTAAGGGGGGAGATTTCAAAAGATGGCAGCATAAGATGCTGTTTTATTTGACAACACTGAACTTGGCTAATGTTCTGCGCAAGACTGAGCCTACTGCAGATGGAGAAAATATTTTTTCTGCAGAAACTTTAATGGCCATAGATGCCTAGAAACATAATTATTTCCTCTACAGAAACTATATTCTCAATGCATTAGATGACTCATTGTATGATGTCTATGTGGTATTCAAAATACCAAGGAACTTTGAGAATCACTTGAGAAAAAATATAAAACCAAGGATGCTGGTTCAAAGAAATTTGTCATGGACAAATTTTTGGACTACAAAATGGTCGATTCCAAGTCTGTTGTCTCTCAAACTGAAGATCTCCCAAAAATCATCCATGACATCCATGACATTCATGTTGAAGGGATGGCGTCGTTTATAGAAAAAGTGCCACCTTCTTGGAAATAGTTCAAGAGTTATCTGATAGGAGCATATTTATACGACTGAGTTAGCTTGTTCTCATGCATTTATGTTGTTATTTCTTAGTTAATTATGTATTTTAAGCTATTTTCATGTGTTTGTAGGTCCATAGGCCTTATGAAGTAATAAGATGTATTTTGGTGCATTTTGGAGCAGTTTTGGGCTTGGAATGAATAGCACATGCATGGAGCAAGGTGGATGGACGAAATTGAAGACTAAAGAGGCTACGAATGTGTTAAAGAGAAAGAAGAATTAATGTAAAAAGGACAAAGAGCTCAGCCACAAAGGGGTGTCACTCCACCATTCACCTTTCCATCATTGCCGTGCACCACCATTGCACTCCCTTTGGATTCCTATGTCGTGCATCATCATCCATGTTCTCTCCATTGACTCATTTGTTGCATCATTCCACCTCCCTTTCCTTTCTCTACCATGTGCACAATCATTCATGTTCCCTAGCTGCAACACCACTCCATTTTACCCCTATGCTTTGCATCATCACTTCACTTTCACCTTTGAATCATTTCAAACACCACTCATTGCACTCAATTACTACACCATTCCCTGTTCCCTCCATCATTTCAGATTTATGCTGTTGGAAATATGCCCTGAAAGTCAATCTTTGGAAGAAACCTTTCAGGACAATAAATGGATGTATAGATGACTCTTATACATCAAATGGCAAAGATACTATTTAGGACTATCTATATAAACGATATATGTCCTAAATGATGAATCCATGGACAATGGATCGATTGAAGAAGTAATCTAATGATGTTAGACTACAGAGACCTTCTTCACATAACCATCATGTCCAAAAGGTTCCTGGTCATAGGATTGTCGGAGGGATACTGACAATGCATAGACTGGCACATACTATGTCCGCTTCAATTAGAAGGATGGAAAGTCTCATCCCATTCGTGTAGTGACACGAAGACAAGTATGTAGGTGCTCATTAAGGGAATGAGTTCACTGAACACAATGGAACGAGAGTACTTGCATGGAGGTCTACTCACATGTCAAGCAAGTAACTCTAATAGTTGGAATAATGTAAGTAGTCCTTTGACTTGAGGCATCATCGTTGTCTTGTGGTTAAGTACTTGATCTTTGATTATATCAAAGTCACTCAATCCGCAAGTGTCCACGGCATAGTCGGGGTTAAGCCACTTAGTCATGAAGGCAAGTGAATGCGCAACAAGGAATCTCTAATCCTCGTTAAGAGAGGATGAATATTCTAAGATATGATTCTGGAATCTTCAGCCGAAGTATCGAGCATAATAAAGGAAAGCGTTCCTATACAACTCAATTGAATCATATAAGAAGGAATAATCACATTAGGGGTTTGACATAATATATCCATACCCTAGTGATGTGATTGAGAGTATTGTTTTAGAGAAAGATCGAATTACATTGTAATTCCAACTGAATAGGTTCTCCGAACAACTTCTACATTAGCTTGGGTAGCCATGATATATGGTTAGATGTCACTCATGGCTTGTGAGTTCTTCTAGATGATTAAATGTAGTCGTCCAAGAAGAAGGTGAATTAAAAGTAAGTTTTAATTTACTAAGTGATTGGATTAAATATAATCAATTGGATTGGTGCCAATCACCTCACTGCCTTGCTAATTAGAACCTAAAACGATTGTTCACCAATACACTCTTGTAGTGAGTAACTAATGGATGATGGAAATATTAATTGGATTAATTAAGTGTTGCGATTAATTAGAATGTCTAAAGAAATCATAAAAGCGATATAAGATCGTTTTGGGCTTAAAGAAACGTTCGGGTTTAATTGGGCCCATTGGGCCTAAACCCATTGGGCTTTTATTCAAGCATTGGATGACTTGAAATAAATAAAAGCCCAAAGCCTAAACAACACAAAGGGGGCTAGCCAAATGAGGGAGAGAAAGGTCAAATGTTGACTTGTTTCTTTTTGGCTATAAAAGGAACTTTATAGCAAATGTTTCATTAGGGTTTTTTGAAGTGTCAAAAGAACAAAAGAGAAAAAGAAAAATATCTCTCTAACACTCAAAGGGCTGGCCACCATAGGGGGATTTTAGCTAATCATCTTTTCACCCCTTTGGTTATTCCTTCATCCTTCTCACTACACTAGTGGGTGAGGATCTTTAGAGGTTTTCAATTTTGGAAACTTGAAGAGAACCTAGGAGCACTCATACTAAACAAAGTGGAGGAGGCAAGGAAGGAGGCTAGGCTCAAGGAGTTCAAGGAGCAAAGGGCTTGGAGGTGGTCCATCCTTGATCTAAGATCTAGATCAAGAGGTATAAAACTACTCCTAAACTTTGTTCTTAAATAAATTTGTTTTTGATGCATCTTACATAAACCTATGCATCTTGAAGGGGATTTACATGACTAGAGCTTTGATTTTATTTGATAACATGCTTCCGTTGCTTTCGTATATAAATTTTGAATTGTATATGCATGCTAGTCACTAGAAATCCCACATGGAATCTCATAATTTCCCTTCAAGTGGTATCAGAGCCAAAGGTTTATGTATGATGTGTCCTTTTGGATTTTATGCGTATGGGTTTTAATTTTATGTATGACATATTATTGCTTCATTCAAAGTATGTTTATCTTTTGTTTTTCAATTGTTGAAAAATGTAAATCAA